AGAGAGAGAGAGAGAGAGAGAGAGAGAGAGAGAGAGAGAGAGAGAGAGAGAGAGAGAGAGAGAGAGAGAGAGAGATGCACAAGTGTTGTTCAGGACCAAAGCGTGCACACAAGGTGACTTCAAGTTGAAAATAGTGGTCGCTTGTTGATCCTTATTTTTGTTTGGGGTACACATGAAAGAGTGACTTTGAGGATCCGGTGACTTCAGGCCGAAAATCGTGGTCGCTTGTTGATCCTTATTTTTGCTTGGAGTACACATGAAAGCGTGACTTTGTGGATCCGGTGACTTCAGGCCGAAAATAGTGGTCGCTTGTTGATCCTTATTTTTGCTTGGGGTACACATGAAAGCGTGACGTTGTGGATCAGGAAGAGGAGGGAGGATCTTAATCAAACAGCGTAATTTATGGTTGGTATCTTCCGTTAACCAGTTGAGGTGGGGGAAAGATTTTGGTGGTGCAGTAGAGTCTTCCATCACCATGCACTGATTTCGTTCGTTACAATATCTGTCGCCGGTTACTGGTTCTGTTTAGTGAGCATCGGCAAACGTTGTTGGGTATGTCTTACAATAGCCGTCTTTGTGAACCTTCAGATTGTTAACCCGCTGTGTCTTTTTTTTGCTGTTTTCTTTTTTGCATTGGTGCAGGCGTAGCCACTCTGCCTTTACTTGTATTTTTCAATGCAAGCGGTGCCCATGCTGGTCCTGAGTCCAATGGCGACAAACACCACAATTCGTATAGATTCTTTTCCATGATGTTCCTAACACATGTAATGCTTGTGTTCATTCATGTTTTCAATGCCAGCAAAGAGGGACCGGGCATGAGTCTACGTTCTTTCTCCTCCCTTACGTTATTGTCAGAGTTCTTTTCATGCAATCTATGATTGGTGTCTTTTAAGTCGTATCCCTGGCGAATTGTGGTCCGGTCTTTTTTTATCTCCTCCCTCCTGATGCCATATGCCCCTAGTGTGAAGTTCAGTCGCACACTTTGATAACTATAGGTGACCTTACGGCCGCCCTCAAAACCACATTCGTAAGCTGACAGTTTTTCCCGATAAGTTAGGCTATTTGAAGAAGCACATAAGAACGAAAGGCCAATTAAGGTAAAAGAAAGTAGTAAACTAATGACCAGTTGCAAAGAACCAACAGATTGCAATATTGTTCAATATGCTAAGTCTGATGCCTTCTGTTTTGCCATTGACAGACATTTGTTTATCCCCTCCTGGATGAGTTAAGCCGGTCTTGTACCTAACTAAGCTTGCTCTCATTGCCGTCCTTCGGATTTTGTTTATTCTGTCCATTTTCAATCAGGGTGCACTGGAAAAGGCAGACATTTTCCCTTCTGAGGATGAAACTTACACTTACATGGAGATTAGGGATGCCATTGCAGACGACTTGGGATCCATTCCTCACCTTGAGTGCAAGAATGGGAAGTTGAGTGAGGTTTTTTTATGCCTCAACAAATATCCTGATGCAGATAACATATTCGAGGTATTTCTTCCCTTTCTTGTGGCTCTTACCCTTCGCCTCTCTTCCAACAACCACTGGTGTCAGTTCTGGTCTCTCTCTCTCTCTCTCTCTCTCTCTCTCTCTCTCTCTCTCTCTCTCTCTCTCTCTCTCTCTCT